CATCTCCATTGTTCTCTAACTTCCTTGGTCCTCATCCTGGGTTCCATCTCATTCATGCATTCATATACACTGTACTCAGCATGGGAGATTACTGGGATGATAGAGCTGAGTAAATCACCTCCATCGTATATTGTTAAAAATCTTCAGAAATTCATCTCTCTGAAAAAAATGAGTAGAAAATGAAGAATCTACCCAGAATCAGGGAGAATTTAGCCTTGAAGTTGTAAGGGCTCACAAACCATAAAAGGTTTTTAAGTGTAGGAGAAATATTATAAAAGTGCTATTTAAGGAAGAAAATGCTGTGAAGCTGCACTTAAAATAGATCAGATCAAGTGAGCTAACAGTCAAGCATCCAACAAGAGACTCTGTTGTCATCAGGTATGAAGAGATGGCGTGGGGGGAGGGGGAGAAAGCCCATGTCTAGAAAAATAGATGGAATGTTGGTAAAGAGGGAAATGGCAAGAAATTCCAGTAGGAAATGTGCCTGCTTGTGGGTTGAAATTAACAGATTAGATCTGTGTGGTTTTCTCTTTTCACAGTAATTGAAAACTTAGCATTAATGGGTAGTTCCTATTTTTTGCTTGTTTTTGCAGTACTGGAGGATCAAACCCTAGACCCCATGCAATTCAGCACGTGTTCTACCAATGAGCTATCCTGCAGCCTTAGAACTAATGTTAGTAAGACAAAGATAGTGCAATGAATAATGGGAATATTTTGGTTTGTTTTTTTGTTTTCCAAGACAGGGTTTTTCTATGTAACAGTACGGCTGTCCTGGAACTCACTTTGTAGACCAGGCTGGCCTCAAAATTACAGAGATTTGCCTGCCTCTGTCTCTGCTTCCAAAGTGCTGGGATTAAAGGCATGCACCTGCCTGAGAGTGGTAATTCTTTGCTGGAGGAGATTAGTGAGCTCAGCTACGTTACTTGGAACAAATCCCAGATTCCATTATGTTGTTCAGAGCTGTAAGAAGTCAAGATGCGGGACCTGTCCTCAGTGCATGAGCTGGCTGTTTGGAACCTGGGGCTTATACAGGGACACTTGGCTCAGTCTGGGAGGAGGGGACTGGACCTGCCTGGACTGAATCTACCTGGTTGAACTCAATCCCCAGGGGAATCTTTGCCCTGGAGGAGATGGGAATGGGGGGTGGGCTGGGAGGAAGGCGGGGGGGGGGGGGGGGGGGGGGGGGGGGGGGGAGGGAGGGGGGAGAACAAGGGAATCCGTGGCTGATATGTAAAATTAAATTAAATTATAAAATAAAATAAAATAAAAAAAAAGTAGTCAAGATGCTTTGCAAGTCTCCCAAACCATTGTTTGGAAAACGTACCAGTGTCAGCTAACCTTTACTGTAGAACATCAATACAAATGACTATATTAAATATTTCTTGTATTTTTTTTGTAGTATTCAATAAAAATTCAACAATATGAGCTTAAACAGAAGCTAAACTTTTGCATAAGATATTGGATTTTATGGGAGGTAATTAATGTGATTGAAAGTCATTATGGGGCAGTCTCTATATTTACATATTAAAAAAGATGGACGTGTTTGATGTATTCATGTCCCTTTACTGTGTTTTGAACACTCACTGGGTATATTACACTTGAGAGGATATGGAATGAATAACGTACCAATATTTCTCTTAACAAATTTAAGAATTAAAACAGTTTTGTCTATACCAAGTTAGAAACAGATTCAAATCAACATGTCCACATTTTCCCAGCATTCTTATCCCAGGTTGTTTAGTTTCAGAAGTGTAAAACTAATGACCTTGGAATGGCTTATAGGTCAAGAGTAGGGGACTCGATGGCAAGAGTCCTCAGTACTGATCAGGGTAGCTGGGAAGGTTTTGCTGAAGAGGAGACTTGAACTTGTGCTGGTAACAGGTGACTCGACCATCAGAAGTGCTCTCGAGGGTGAGTGGTGACACAGGGAGGGCTCAATGAGATTAAGTCCTCAGATGTCTTCTAGATGAGGCATAGACATTTGAGTACGAAGTTGTAAAGTCACTTGAGAACATCAGGCCTTGGAGGCTGTGGCACCTTGGTGACTCAGACCTGAGAGTTTTATAGCCCCTCTATGCATGCACAGGCTTGTTATGTTTCAGAGTAGTGTCTGAGTCATCCCTGGGAACATTTGGCCCTGTTACCAGTACCCTCCAAAGTGATTACAGAATATTTATGCCTGTTGACAGGAGGGAATCAGATGAGAGTGCTCAAGGGTTCAGTTCTGTGGAAGCAAGTGTGCCTGACGTCTGCTTTCCCCAGAGACTCTAGCACAAGGCAGGTAGGGAACTTGGAAGATAAGAATTGATTTAAGAATATTAATAGATCATCACTGTTTCCTTTTATAGGCATTCCTTTGCCTGCTCAAAGCACAAAAGCATATTGGATACATCAATTCACTGTAGTAAGCCTATACAACTACTTTGCTGTCAGTAGCCCTAGTTTACAAGCCTGAGAACTAAGATTTAGGAAGATGAGTCTTGCCACAGTCATACCCCTTCATATTGAAGGTATGATTTAATTCCAACTGATTCTGACTCAAAATTTCATTCTCTTTTGATGTTATTGCCCCTTACACATTGCCAAGTGTCAAAACCATTCTAGCTGATGGGCCATGGAAAAACCACTCATCTTGGCTCAGCAATTTGGAGGTTTTGATATGCCAAATATTTTTATAATTCATATCAAGCGAAGTGCTTCTGCTGTCATTTGTTCCTTATAATAACTCTGTAAAGCTAGTGTGTGTGTGTGTGTGTGTGTGTATGTGTGTGTGTGAGAGAGAGAGAGAGAGAGAGTAGAAGAGAGAGAGAACACGCTCAGTGAGTCATACTGAATTATTTAGACTAGAACTTCTAAACCTGTTAAATGCATGTGCACACATAACATTCAGTGAACAGTTATTGTATGCCCTGTGTATGAAGTGCTAATTCATCAGAGTAATCCATGATTGTTCCTTTTATATGGATTAGAATAGTAAAACAGAAGTGTTATTTTCTAGCTTAAGAAGTAAAGGAACTGAGCTGAGTCTCTAGAATCAGAAAGTTCTCTGGCAATAATAAAACAATTAAATACCATGGGGCCATAAAAATGGCTCAATATGTGAAGACACTTCTGACACAAGTCTGGTAACCTGATTTCAATCCTGGAACTCATATAAAGGTGAAGAGAGAACCTGCACCACAAAGTTATCCTCTGTCCTCTGCATGCCTTCTGTAGCATGGACTCTCCCACCACACACACACACACACACACACACACACACACACACACACACACACACCATTGTTGAAAGGATAACTAAAATACTGATTTACTCTGCCTTTGTTAGAAAGGAGAATGCAACACCTGGGTTGACCCAACCCCAACTGTGAACCTAAACCTTAAGGTTCAAATGTCAAAGTCAAAGGCAAGATTCAAAGAACAAAGAACATGACCCCAGTGACTAAGGCCAGGCTCATGTGACATAGGAAAAGAAAATCAAATGTAGCTTAAGCCAAAGCAGCTGGGTCTTGTTTGGAGGTCAAGGTTTCTGTGAACTTACACCATTACCCGTACCTTGATAATGGTCAACATTGGATCTTATGAGGTAACACTTCATATACAGGGTATATAATAGTGTCTGGTACATAGTAGCTGATAATTGAATGTTGTATCATACATTCAACAGGCTTAGAGGTTCTAGCCTGAACAAATCAGTGTGACTGACTGTGAGCACATGCATTCTCTCTCTCTCTCTCTCTCTCTCTCTCTCTCTCTCTCTCTCTCTCCCTCTCTCCTTTCCCTTCCTCCCTCTCTTCTCTCTTTCCTCTCCATTTGAAGCTCCACTAGTGATGATCACTGTATTGAGAATGGATAAATCTTTTTTTTTTTTTTTTTTATTTTTTTTTTATTAATTTATTTTGCAATACAATTCAGTTCTACATATCAGCCACGGATTCCCTTGTTCTCCCCCCCTCCCGTCCCCCTCACCTACCCCCCAACCCCCCCCCCCCCATTCCCATCTCCTCCAGGGCAAAGCCTTCCCCACAGACTGAGGTCAACCTGGTAGACTCAGTCCAGGTAGGTCTAGTCCCCTCCTCCCAGGCCGAGCCAAACAATCCTGCATAGGCCCCAGGTTTCAAACAGCCAACTCATGCAATGAGGACAGGACCCGGTCCCACTGCCTGGATGCCTCCCAAACAGATCAAGCCAATCAACTGTCTCATCCGTTCAGAGGGCCTGATCCAGTGGGGACCCCTCAGCCATTGGTTCATAGTTCATGTGTTTCGAGAATGGATAAATCTTAACCTTTACTTATTTAGGAATCTTTAATGGTATTAAAGATATACTTTGGGCCACATTTTAGAATTTAAAAAATTTGAGTGTGTGTAGAAGAGAAACATTGAGATCTTGAACAGGCTTTGGACCTTTAGAGACGAAAATGTTTTAAAAATAGGACAATGAAAGTAAGTAAAGACACTATTTTGTGGGGGCATGATGGGCCTTACATGGAAATAGGGATGTTAGGTGAAGATAAAAGAAGGGTACATTCACTTAATAGCCACAATGTATTAGGACACATATGTAATACATTTTCTTTAATTTGTATAAGTATCTTATTAAATACTTATTATCCCCAGTTTCAAACAGGAGAGGAGCTGGAATCCAGTGATGTATCTACTTAAGTCAAATAGACAAGTAAGATTTGTCTTGCAGCTGTTTTCTTTGTGTTGGACATGGTTACTGTTTCCTTGACTCAAAGCAGCATAGATCAGCTGCATGAGGCCCTCCTAAGATTGGGTCTATTGAGATAGGGAATGCTCAAGGGCCCTAGAGACTATCTAAGCTGTTAGCAATTATTTGGAGGAGAATCTCAGTAACTGAGGTGCTAGTGTTACTTGCCCAGAGGACTCCCTCCAATAATTCAGTCTTTCTGAATAGTCACCCATGCTGTCATGGGGCTTTTGGTGATGCATCTGAGTATACTCCTTCCTATGAACTTTATGAATTCATTGACTCACCAAGCTGGTCATGGGGTCCATCATATCTTTGGTTTATTGTCCTCTTCATCAGTGGTGAATAGAAATGGACACCCCAGGAAAAGTCACACAGCACATATCAAATGGGTCCAATGAACTCCAAGTTCTATGTTCTTTCCATTTCATCCTTCATGTAAGTTAGGGTTGACCAAAAACTCATAGATTGCCTGGAAGCTTTGAGATACACAGGGAAAACTGTGAATATGTTTCTTCTTTTGTTTGTAGTCTTAGGTCTATGACACAAGGGAATTTTCAGTCTCAATTTTCTTTAAAATTACCTTTCTTCTATATTCATTTCTTTTCTTCCTTTTCCCCACCTTCTAATTTAAAGTCTTCTCTTCCAGGAAATCTATTATTGTCTTAGTAGAAATCCTTAAGGTCCACCAGAACTGAAAATAAAGAGTGCAAAACCAAATCGGATTAAATCATGTTTTCCAGGTAGCCCCTGCTTAATTTGCTTTACTATTGTAGTGGTTTGGATAAGAATGGCCCCCACAGGCTCACATATTTGAATTCTTAGTCATCAGGAAGTGGCAATACTCAGAAGGATTAGGAGGTATGGCCTTGTTGGGGTAGGTGTGGCCTTCTTGGAGGAAGTGTGTTACTGGAGATGGGCTTTGAGGTTTCAGAAGCCCAAGCCAGGCCCAGTGTCTCTCTCTCTTCCTGCTACCTGTGGATTTGGATGTAGAGCTCTTAGCTTCTCCTCCTGCACCATTCTTGCCTATGTGCTGCCGTGCTCCTTGCTGTGATGAAAATGGACTAAATATCTGAAACTGTAAGCCAGCCCCAATTAAATGCTTTCTTTTATAAGAGTTGTCATAGTCATGGTGTCTCTTCACAGCAATAGGACCATTGACTAAGACAATTTATTACTTGAATCTATGACTTGTCTGAACACCAAGTGCCTTTTCCTTTAGATTGACTTTCAGACTTCTCATCTGCATGATGAAGGTGAACTAGAGAGTTTCAAAATGTCATTCTCTTGTAGATACTTTGCAATCTGAGGATTCAAACAAATTAAGCCCACCCCTTCCCCTCTTCAGTTCCTAGTTCCTTTCTTCCTTTCCTTCCTTTCTTTCCCTTTTATTCCCTTAATTTTTTTGGTGTGGTAACCTGCTTGATAAATGAGATCACAAATTCACAAAACCAGATTATTTAAAAAGATAACCTTGAAGTGTATTGTTTCTAAAAGAAGCTGGTACTCTACAAAGAAAGGGGATGATTCTCACTTCAGCAAAGCAGCAACATTACAGATTGCAGCTATCATCACTAATTAGCTACCCCAGATGGAGAACTGCCCCACCCCAAACAGACGGCTGGCCAGCTTCCTACAGATAAGTGAGACATAAATAACTCATTCCACTCTTTTCACAACAACATGCCATCCTGCCTTACTTGTAAGAGATGTACAATTGGTTCACTTCAGAATTGGGCCACAGAGATGTTTCAAAATTATATTTAATATAATTTTCTAGATGTAACAAATATAAATGCTATTGTAGAATGTTCAACCTCTGTAAAACAGGAATAAGTAAATGTTCATAGCTCCATCATATACCTACAACTAGTTTATATATTAGTATAAATCTACATTTCTATTTGGATATATGTATATATTGTATAAGTTAATCATCACATATTTTTGAGCTTGTTTACTTCAGATTATCACAGATATTTTTTTAAAGCACCTTGAGATATGATTGGCATATAAGAAAGTTGTATGCATGTGATATCTACAACTTGTTGAGTTTGGAGATAAAAATAACTGTGACATGAACAACATCCTTGTATCAGTTACTTTTCTGTTTCTATGATAAAATACCATGACAAAGGCAACTTACAGAAGAAAAGATTTACTTGAGCTTATTGTTCCAAAGGGATAAGAGTCCATCATGCTGGGGCAGCTTGGCAGCAATCATCAGGCAGCTGGCACAGTGGCAGGAATAGAAGCTTAGATGTCATATATAGAACTAGAAGGACAAAACAGAGAGATTAAGCTAGAAGTAGGTAAGAGATTTTACTCTCAAAGCCCCCCTCCCCCCTTGGTGACATACTTCCTCCAACAAGGGTCAAACTTCTAAGCCTTTCCAGATAGTATCCCAAACTGGAGACTATGTATTTAAATGCCTGAGACTATGTGGGGGACACCTCATTTATTCCTCAATGCTATAAACACATTCATCACATCCCAAAGTTTTCCTTATCTTCTTATTTACTACTATTTTTTATGATAAGAACATTTAATGTAATATCGCCAGTGTTGTGTTAGTTTTCTCATCATTGTAACAAAATATCTGACATAAACTTGAATGATTTATTTTGGCTCATGGGTTCAGAGGTCTCAGCACATAGCCACTGGCTCCATGGACTGAGAACTTGTTGAGGGGTAAGGACATCATGGTAATGAGAGGATGTGGTGGATAAGCCTGGTCCACTCAAGGGAGGCAGGAAGCAGAGAACAAGGAAGGGACTTGAGACAGATATGCTCCAAAGATATGTTGCCAGTGACCCAGTTCTTTCAATGAGTCCTCACTTCTTAAGTGTTTACATCCTTCCTAAATGGCACCACCAGTAGAGGAACCATCTGTTTTATCTTTCATGAACACAATTTTGTGCCCTTTGACTAATAATTCTTGGTTCCTTACCCTCCAGTCCTTGGAAACCACCATTTTCCTCCCTGCATTTAAGAATTTGACAGTTTTAAATTCATTACTGTAATTTGCTCTTGCAATATTTGTCTTTCCATATCTATTTTGTTTCACTTAACATAATGTCCCCTGAGTCCATTCATAAGTTCATGTCTCTAATAGCATTATTTCTTCTTTGTATGCTTAAATTCTGTATATGCGCACACTACACACATTTCATTATTCACATAGCTATTGCGTTGAATTTTGTTTGCTGAGTTTTATCCTTTCATATGTTGAGTAATATTGTGATGAATTGCAATGAACATGGGCATCTAGTTATCTCTTAGAAATTCTGACTTTAATTACTTTAGCAGAAATACAGAAGTGAAATTGTTGACTTCTACAGTGGTTCGAGTTTTAAATTTCTGAGATACTACCATCCTGCTAATTACATTCCCACCAAATTTCATCAATACCCCCCCCTTTTCCACGTCCACATAAACTTCTGAAGCTTGGCTTTTGTTTTGAAAACAGGCATGAGATGATATTTCATTGTAGTTTGATTTGTATTTCCAAGACTGTTAATGATAATGGGGGCACTTTTCACATGCCAGTTAACTGAAATTCCTTTTTCTTTTTCATTTATAGTGTTTTCTTGAGGAAAATGTCTATTCTGTTCCTTTTCTCATATGTAAATTGGGCTGTTTGGGAATTTATTGTTTGTTTGGTTGGTTTGCTAATGAATTTTGTTAGGAATTCTTTTTCTGTTTTGGATATCAGCCTCATATCCTAGTTATGGGTTGCTAATATTTTCTTCCATTCTTAGCTCTACTCTGGTGATTATATTCTGTGCTCATAGAAGCTCTTGAGTTTGATCTAGTCCCACCTTGTCTATTTTTGACTTCTCTGTGCTTGTTATCATATCCAAGAAATCCTTACCGAGGCCCAGGCCAAGAAGTTTTTCATGATATTTTCTTCCAGGCATTTTAGATTCTGGTCTTATATTTCAGTCTTTCATTCACTTTCAGTCTGTGTGTGTGCTATAAGTAAGAATTGTAAATTGAAGTAAATTGAATCATTCCTTATTGGTGAATCTTATTTTTCCAATTATAAACATAACTCATATTCCTTCATAATTTCAGTTATTAGCAATAATCAGCATCTAATTAGCTGTATGCTTTTTATTCAGCTACCTCCGAGTTTTGACAGTTGTTCACTGTTCATCATCTTTAAGCAGTACTGTGGACATCATCCTCATGTCAGTCTTGGTGTACACCCCCAGATATTTCCCTGGGATAAGATTCTCAGTTCTTAAGTTTCTAAGGAAAATCATAGGCCATTCCTAAAAGTAAAATTATTTTAAAACTGGGGGATACTCTGCATTATCTTGCTCTATGAATGTGGAAGTTTTATTTACATCTTGGTCAATGCTATGCATTTTTCCCCTTAAATTAGGAGGGCTAGTGAGATGACTCAATGGGTAAAGGTGCTTACCACACAATTCTAGAGCCCTGAATTTTATTCCTAGAACCCACATAAATGTAGGGGAGAACAAAGTCTGTAACTTTCCTTTGACCTCTGACCGATACACCATGCCACTCACTCACTCACATTCATCACTTACACAATCATAGACAAAGTTTTTTAACTTACTAATAGACACACCATTTTTCCTCATCTGATAGAACTTTACAATACATAAATTATCTTTTATAATCATGCCATAGAAATTCTATCATTTCCTTAAAATGTGTGTATTTTATTATGATTTTGCAAGAGAGTGTCTCACTATGTAGCTCTTGCTGGCCTAGAGTTCACTGTGTAAATAAGAAAAGCCTCAAACTCCTAGAGACACTCCTGTCTCTGCCTCACAAGTGCAGGAACTAAGATATGCTCCACCATACCTGGCATTTTCTGTCCTTTCTATTGTTCACTGTTCTCTAGATAAAGAGTGATGGTTGTGTTTTGTGCATTAACAATACTGTCTTACGGTTCATTGCTTATTATTTAACAATTCTATATTTGTACATTATTTAAAAGGAAAGTATCTATAATGGGAGTGCCTAGCCACAACTATGGAACCAATTCCACTATGATTTTGAGTAAGTGACAGAATAACTTCCTATTTTAGTTCACTTGTGTATGAAATGGTGGTTGCAAAATTATGTTCCTCACATAATTTTAAGGATTAAATGGATGACACCTGAACATCATTTAGCACAACTTCTAAAGATCATGAGTACTCAATAATCATGAGGAAAGGGATATATATATATATATATATATATATATATATATATATATATATATAATTCACCAGTAAGGAATAATTCAATTTACTTCAATTTACAATTCTCATTTATAACACACACACAGGCTGAAAGTGAATATATATATTTCTTTACTTGTTAGATATCAAGGTCCTATATTGCACTGGTTCTTAACCTTCCTAATGCTGCAAACCTTTAATTCAGTTTCTCGTGTGTGGTGACCTCCAACCATAAAATTATTCCATTGCTACTTCATTACTATAATTTTGCCACTGTTATGACTTGTAATGTAAATATCTGATATGAAGGATATCTGATATGCAAGCCTAAAAGCTCTTGACCCACAGGTTGAGAACTACTGCTATTTGGGCTATAGAAACTTCTTAACCTTCCCATCTTCTAAATGTTGGAAGTTCTTGGTTGGTGGGAAGTGGGGCATGTAACTCTTTCATTCTAATTTCTAAGGCAGTGCCCAAGATAAAGTAAGTGTCTAATGAGGCACAGAGGCCCTCCTGGAGAAGAGGGCAGATGGGCAGTGTAGCAAAGAGAAACCTACAGTTCTTTTGACTTCCCCAGGCTGCCAGTTGTTTAGGATTAATCATTTAGCATGTTTTATTATGAAATATGTTGCCTAGAGTGGATAGGCAACCAGCCAAGATTTGGAAATTATTGTGACAATAAAAAGGGAAACTGATTAGAAATAATATAATAGATAGTCTAAACATCAGATCTGGCCAATCAGAGGCATTGATGCAGAGATATCCTAGTCAACAGCAGGCCAATTCTGTAAATGAGGGAATTAGCCCAGCTCAGAACATGTTACCGAGAATGGCATTTGTGTTTCATAAGCCTTTCAAATTACCCAGAGATGATAATGATGCATCAGTAGAAATGCTTTTAAAAAACCATAAAGTCTGAATTGCCTTAATCGAGGTCAGAAATGAGATCACAAAAATGGTCAGAACAGACAACTTGCTAGAAAGAATAAAGGCTAATTCATTCCCAAGAATGCTTGTTGGTACTCAAAATTTGATTTAATGGCACTGGCTCATTATATTTAGACAGCAATTGAGTCTAAGAAGCTTATAATGTGGGTTTGTAGTCCTGTTCCATGGGAGAAGATACATAAGGTAATGTTTCCTGGTTAAGGCATTGAGAATATACAAAGATTAGATAAGTTAGGGCCACTGAGATGTTAGAAGCAAGATAATGCATGAGACCATTGCTTCTTTAAACTACAGACAGTTCAGCATTTGGCATACATGTTCACTACCACACTTTCTATCAATACAGGTAAACTAATTTAGCATTTCCTTTTATAACTCCATCTGTTAATAGTGGTTTGCAAATAAAGACATGGATAGTTACTCCGTCAAACAAGCCACAGCATACTGAAAAAATGTTTTGGTTTTTTCCCCAGTTGGTTAAGAGGTAAATAATGTGTTAGTACAAAGGATCAACTAGCGAATTTTACAGTGTAACAGATACTTAATAGCCTTAATATTAAAGCAGGTCATAAACTGAATGAAAACAAGTGTTATCCAATTAGAATATAGAGTATGAGGGCTGCAGAGACATCTCAGTGGTTCGGAGTATCTATGTCTCTTACAAAGGACCTGTGTTTTATTCCCAGAACTCATGCTAGGTAACTTACAACTGCCTATAACTTCAGCTCCAAAGGAATTTAATGCTCTCTTCTGGACTCTGTGGACACCAGAACTCATGTACACACACCTACCCACAGACACATATATACATATATATATATATATGTAAAATATTAAAATACAGGCCAATAATGTAATCAGAATAGTCATACAAGAAAAATATAAATGATACTTGACACTTTAAAAATATATTATCTCATTACTAACAAAACATATTTAATTAAATACATTTTATTTTTGTCTATAAAACTTGGCTGCCTTTACAAACATGAAATGCCTACCTTTTGGAAACATTATGATAAAGCCATATACATGATAGAACATAAAATATTTAAAGAGGGAGAACACATGTCTAAACATAACAATGAGACTGGGAAGATGGATCAGTGGATAAAAGGACTTG